ACTGTCATAGCTGAAACTCCTCTCTTATGTGCCACGCATGTTATGGATTGAGTTGGATCTTTTCTAATTGATCTCTTTATCTCCAAGTTGTAATTATGATCCCCCTTTCCTGTTGTGACCTCCTCATCCAGTTTTCCTCACTACTACCCAATCTCTTTTTAAACTTATTTCCCAGTCTTTAGATGGTTCTTGAATGGACTTCAAAGACAGAAGACCAAGTATGAATGTTGGTACCATTACTGAAGGCCTGAATTATATTTTTTCTACACCATTGTTCAGTTGGGAATACAGTGGGTGTGACACAAAATGATTTTAACATGTACTCTTTCTAGCTGATTTTTCTTTCAGCAATTCTTACAACAAATGGTGTCAAGATGGCTAAATGTCTTATCTGAAAACATGTAAAAAAAAAAAAAAAAAGAAATTCAGTTACTTTAGTGTTTTTTTTAGATATTAAACATTTTGTGGGATGGACAATTATGATGTAACACAATTTGAACAATTTTGCTGTTACACCTGGCATATAAATACACAGACAGACACACACTATATATCTTTTCTAATTGATCACTTCAGCTCTAAGTTGTAATGATGATCCCTTTCTTGTTGTGACCTCCTGGTCTAGTTTTCCACTCAACTGTTCCTCATTTTTAAACTTATTTACCATTCTCTTGCATGGTTCTTGAATGAACTTTGACAACAGAAGCCAGGGTATGAATGTTAGTACTATTACTGAAGGCCTTAATTATGTGTGTGTGTATATATATATATATATATACACACACACACAGACAGACACACACACATATATATATATATATATATATATATATATATATATATATGCACATACCAATAGATGTATAGATACATAGATAGGTTCTATCAAAAATGCTTTTAGAATCTTTGGGGGCAGGTTCCTCTCACAAGGACGTAAGTCCATATAAACATATCCGCAAATACTTCATTTTTGAGTTATTAAGTTTAACAAAAGTTTATAGTAGATGGTGGTGTGTCGCCATATAGACTAGGTTACATTTGTCGTTCATGTACACATGTGGCTTGTCTGTCTTTAATGTTTAACGTGTGTAGTAATAAACTGAGAAGTGTTCCATTTAACAATGGCAGAATATTTATATCATGAGCAGGCGTGGTAATGGATGTGAGGCTGTACAGCTGTATCAGATTGTTTTCAGACCAAATGGCAGTCAAATCATCCAAACTTTGCTGCTGTTTATCTTTGGGTTGCTGAGACAGGATCTGTGGCACCACAAACTATGAATCAAGGGAGACCGAGATCCAATCATATGCCTGACCATGAAGAACACATTCAGCATGTATCAAATGGCCCTATATTGATTCATTTTCAACATGTACAGGGGTTTCACCCGAAGATTCATCACCTTGGGAGAACTTTTGCCGATGACTTATTGGACAAACTGCCAATCCGTCATTTGTCTCTTCAGTCTTGTTTACGGATGAGGCAACATTTGGAAGAGATGGAATAATAAAATTACACAACCAACATTTGTGGGTGGATTGGAATCCCCATAGAAGCTAGGCACCAACATCAGTTTACAATTAGTGTGTGAGCTGGAATTGTAGGTGACTGTCTGGTAGGTCCATATGTTTGCCCAGTATGTCTTACAGTAGCAGTCTACAGGGACTTCATTTCAAACACACTTCAAGACCTGTTGGATGATGTACCCCTGCTAATATGAAGACTCATGTTATCCACTGTAACTGTTAAAAAATTGTTTAATTCAGTCATTCTTAATCTTTCCTTTGTCAGCATTTATTTCCAGATATTTGCATGGGTTGGCAAACTCTGTGTTAAAAGTGCACGGATAAATGGAGGTAGCCCTCTAACTTGAGTGGCTCTTGACCCTTGTATTGGATGAACTTCAGAAAAAAAAAAGTTTTTATTGTATTATTTTTTTATCACAGCATTCCAGTAAGATTACACTTTTTGGTTTAGGATGTTATGATAAAATACAGACCTTGTCTTGTATACAGAAAGATAATGTTTGCAAAAAAAAATAAATTTCATACAACGTTTGTTTAAGATAATGCAACACAAACATATCCAGTGGTTCTTAAGCTTTTCTTCTCCAAGACCACCTTTCAGATATTTGAGGAGGTTTGGCATGCACTGTGTTAAAAAGTGTACTGATAATTGGAGCTGATGTAAATGTAACATAGTTAATGTCACATGTCTACATTTTTCTGCATTGCCATACCATCAAAGCAGGGGTAAGTTGTAGCAGGAACATTTACAGATTCGATTTCTACAGCTTATCAACCCTCTGCAAAGCCAGAAAATATTTTTAGATTGTAAAACTTTTCTTTAAAAAGTATTAATAGTTTAGTGATATAGTCAGTTATGTCCCATGTGTGATACACACTTAGGCGATCATGTATCTTTCGATACATGACTGACAAGGCAGATTTTTCCCCACAGTAGGTTGCCATTTCTTTCTGTGGTAGACTAATTGCTATCCAAGGCTATAGAACCTGGTCTGTCTTGCTATTTACCCATAGCTAGAGGAAGAAGAAGATTCGTACCTTTCCCAAGGGTATTAGCATGTAAATGAATGTAATGGATTCAACTAGAATTCTCCAATTCATCAATCCAAGCTGCTATCGATTATTCCACCATGAACCCATAGTTGGGAAAAGCAGAGATGTATACATACCTTTCCCCAAGAACTGAGCCATTATCCATTACACTACCCAGATATATCTAAGCTTACAACACCTCGTATCTGCAAGCAGTTGCTCATCTAGGTACTGACCAGGCTCGACGTTGCTTAACGTTGATGATCGTATGGGAAACTGTGTTTCAATGTGATATGGCCATAAGGCCTGTAACAGGAACGGCCTAACAGAAGTTACCAGGTAAGAGTATAGAAACTGCCAGACTTTGGCTTGCAGGAATTTGCTCTATAAACATAAGCTTTCATCATCCCATGAAAATCAACTCCACACAACTCAATTTAGCTTTCGCTCTGGTCAGAGGAGTAATGATGTTATATATACCATCAAATAACTTTGGGGAAACTACATGCCGCTGTAATAGAAAATTGTATACCAGCCATGTTGATGTCATTGCAGCATTAATAGAGATATTCTCTTTTCATCCATTAGTAATTGTCTTCCAAGATTTGACTCAATTGAATGTATACATCAGATAGAAGGACTATGTGAGTTCACAAAATTGTACATTTGAATATGAAAACATTTTAAACTATATCAGGATTATGACAAAGAGAAAATGAGAGACCTAATTTATTTAATCACTCCCTCAACTATATCCTGCACATATACAAGCACAAATGTGAAACGATGGGAACTGATACTTTAAGTATTCCATATTCAAATGCCAAATGAATTTACAAATAATTAGCATTCTTGCTTTCCCTCCAAGGATAGTGCACTCATGATGTGTGTGTGTGTGTGTGTGTGTGTGTTGCTATGGTGATGAGATATGTATTCATAGTTAGAATAAAAATGATCTTGAAAAAAAAAAAAAAAAATCAACATTCTCTCCTAAGTATTCCAAGAAATTGGAGCCAATATATGTTATCATAGTTGGGATAAGAATGATCTTGAACAAAAACCAAAAAAACAGTATCAACATTCTCTCCTACGTATCTCAAGAAATCAGAGTCAAAGTAAACCTTTCCAAAGCAGAAACTATAAATTGGAATTGGAATGAAAGCAGCATATGACTCCATTTATAGAAATTTCCTCTCCTCATCCATTAGTAATTGTCTCCCAAGATTTGACTCAATTGAATGTATACATCAGATAGAAGGACTAGGTGAGTTCACAAAATTGTACATCTGTATATGTAAACATTTTAAACTATATCAGGATTATGACAAAGAGAAAGACCTCATCTATTTAATCTCTCCTTCGACTGTCCTGCGCATATACAAGCACAAATGTGAAACGATGGGAACTGATGCTTTAAGTATTCCATATACGAATCCCAAATGAATCTACAAATAGAAAATAGCGTTCTTGCTCTCCCTCCCAAGGATAGTGTACTGATGATGATGTGTGTGTGTGTGTTGCTATGCTGATGACATATGTATTCGTAGTTGAAATAAAAATGATCTTGAACAAAAAAAAATAAAAAAAAAAAAATAATCAACATTCTAGGGATAATTTTACCCAACTCTGCAAGTTGCTACAAAACCAAAACTGTAACCTGAAAAATCAAGTCATCTTAAAGAGTCTCGTCAGATCAAGACTTTCATATGGATGTCATGCATGGCACCCAACCAGTTCAGATATGTCTAAACTGTTAAGATGTTGATATTCCCCACTACTTCAAACAAAAAGTTACAAAGGAAACCCTCATCACTATTGTAAAGAGGAATAGCAGTTAGTGGATGTATCAAAACCTATTTTTGTGAAAAATTGTTTTAAGGGAAAGATTTTATGAATTTAAACAGACAGTAGCAACTATCCACTTGGTCAATGAAAGCCTAACATTTCCTTATAAGGAAACAGCTAATATTACCATTTCCAGCTAAATGCTTAAAATGTAAACACACACATTATATATAAAGATAAAGACAGATAGATTAAGAATCCACTGCTCTTAGCATTTACTTTTTTTTTTTTTTTTTTTTAAAAGTGCTCGATATAATAATGTGAATGATGAAACAATTTTTAAGTTCTGAAACAGAAATTTCTGTGTAGCAATGTAAAATATTTCATAATGAAAATATTATTATAATATATAGGCAAAAAGATAAACAAATGTGTATTATGATAATATTGATTTCCCCACCCCAATTAAGGTTGGAGAATTAAATTATCTGTCCTGTTAAAATTATAGCCGCACCTATAATTCTTCTGAACACTTACTACAGCCTTGATAGTTTGAATCACCCACATTGAGAACCACGCATTTAAATAGATTAAAGAAAAGAAAAGCCTGGGTTTTAGTAAAAAAATTTTAAAAAATGCACATTGACTGTACCTACCTTTGCATGTTGGCTATGATGATCCCCAGAGGCCTTAGGGTCTGGTATAAGCAATGGTTCTTCCAAACCCTTACCCACCTGGGGAAAAATGATTTGTTTTATTCAGAATATCTATATATGAAATTTTCATACAAATTGGATGGCCTGATCTAAACTCAAGCCGATAAAATTACATGCCCACTTCACATTGAAGATTTTGAAGTCACAGGCAATACTTTGTAAGACTGTTTAAAAAAAAAAAGAAAAAAAAAAAAATTAATGGGAGATTTTTATTTTTTGATCAATTCACCCCAAGCAAGGCAATAATACCATTAAGATGCAAAGTGGGGAAAAAAGAAAGGGAAGACTTTGGAAGGAACTGGAAATCCAATACTAAACAGGGAACAGAAGATAAACCTCTACTCCTGTTCAAAAGAGCATGGAGAAGTGTGAACTGGACACTAAGCAAACATATCTACTCCTATTGAGGAAAAAAAAAAAAAATTGTAAATAAAATTTCAGTGATTAGTTGGAGATGTTAAAAGTACAGAGCTGAAGAAGACTTTAGAAGAAACTAGAAACCCAATCATAAACAGGAAACATAAGGATAAACCCTCTGATCCTGTTCAAAAGACTGGAGAGAAGCGTGAACTGGAGGATAGGTAAACCTCTCTACAAATTATCCTTACAACCAATATTTTCTCTTTTAATATTAGGCTTGCTAAAAATTCCTAGTTTAATCACGTAGAAAAATCTTTTAATTTACCTCAATGTTCCAGACTTTTTGTTCATCTGCAACTATATATAACTTAGTAATTAAAAAAATGTCTCAACCTCAAGTCTGCCAGTGTCCAGTGCACTTAAAAAAGTTTAAACCGAAGTTAAGCAACATTGAGCCTGTTCAGTACCTAGATGTTTCAACATGTGGTTATAAGAAGTTTATGTATTTGTCAGAAAGACCAGAAAAAAAAAAAACAGACACATGGTCTAGATTGGCCGTTAGGTCTCATTTTGCTGTTGAAATTGCTCAATGTAACTATAAGTTCTATTCTCATAGTTTCTTGTGAAACTCTCTTCTGGCTTCTTGCTTTCTAGTTAACTATGATCTTCAAAAATTTAAATGCAACGTCAATAGTCATCTACTGTTTATTTGAATCCTGTTCTTTTATTATTCTTACTCCTAATTGTTTTCTCTTTTTTTTTTTGTTTCATGCTCAGTAACTCCTTGTGTCATAGTGGCTTTATCGCCTTACCTGGAGTGAAAAAACAAAGTTTTTTTTTAAAAAAATGAGAATTAGAAATGAAAATCTACAAACAGATATTTATTTTTTTTTTTTTATTTTTAACCCATTAAGGGCCAGCATATAATCCAGCATTAATCATAAAAATAATTAATCTGTTATTAAACGGGCTCCCTTCTCGTTAGTCAACCTACTTAGGAAGCCCTTCTCCTCCTTTAAACAATTGTACGTAGATATTTTAATAATTGTGCTAATAATAATTAATGTTATAAGTACAATTGCTGTAAATTGTTATTAATTGTAACTGTTGTAAAATATTGTTGCAAATAAATATCTTTTTGTGATAAAGAGGAGGGGGGAAAGAAAAGAAAAATAGTATTTATTATAGATTTCTAACTATTATATTTAATGGATAATAATTTCTTTTTGATGATCAACTTTATTCTTAAAAAAAAAAAAATTACAGTTTATTCAATTATACAGAATGCAGTAGAAATATCTGACAAAAAATACCTTCCACATAATGGAAAGACATTAATGGCAATTGTGTCTTCATCTAGTTAATGTCTTACCATTATGTGGGAGGTATTTCTACCACACCCTGTATATTCACCATTACTTGAAATGACTTGTTGCCAGTTATCAAGCAACTCTTTGATGGGGGTGATAGCACCTGTTAGGGTCCCATCTATGGAAAAATAGTTAACCTCCAAACTGGGGTCAAAGCACTATGAAAGTGTAAAAATAGGTTTTAATACATTTTTGGAAAAAATATTATCAGCAATACATTTTTGAAAAAATATTATCAACAATAAAAATTAATTTTAAGTGTTTAACCCATTGAAATTAACATATGACAGTCAAATTAAAATGAAAGGAGTTTTAGGTATGACATTTGATTTGTAAATTTCTGACGTGAGACTATCAGCTTTGAGTAAAAGCATTAAGCTGAATTATAAATAATTTCAGTTTTTGTTTATCATCTTTATTCTTCAAAAAATAAAGTACAATTACAGTTTATTCAATTATACAGGATGCAGTAGAAATATCAGACTAAAAATACCTTCCACATAATGGAAAGACATTAATGGCAATTGTGTCTTCATCTAGTTAATGTTTTACCATTATGTGGGAGGTATTTCTGCCGCACACCCTGTATATTCACCATTGTTTAAAATGACTTGTTGCCAATTATCAAGCAACTCTTCAATACATTTTGTGCAAAACTTCACAGGTATTAGTGTGAAAAGGTTTTCATTAAAAGAAACTTTTCCCCATCAAAGCATTTTGTAGCAATTGATTAAAATAATAATCAGCTTGTGCAAGATTCAATAAATATCTGTAATGTAATCAATCCTGACATGGCACCTTGATTTAAGTCATTTTCTCACCAACATGACATGGCTTCCCACTGTCTTTTTTACAAATATTTTTATAACAATTACACTGATGAGCTTTCCCTGTAACTGCCTGTATCCTAGTAGCATTATTGCCTTGCTTGGGGTGAAATGATTAAAAAAAAAAAAAACGAAATAAAATGATGAATGGGGTAGAACAGATCAAACGAGTTCCAAAGTTTTTTTTCCTGTTATTCGAGTTGTATACAGCTTTGTGTTGCCATGGAGAGAAACGTTTCTCCTAATGATGAACCAAACATTTATGGACACGTTGCAGCTGCTGGACATATAAAAGTACATTTATTGTTTCATTGCATTTTAAGAACTCTAAATAAATAATACCCTAACAATTCCACTGTACATATAACATTATCCTTCTTCTATGGAGATCAGCTTTTGATTTCAGTCATGGAGATTTATCTTTGTCAATCCACTGCCTTTTGCATTGAACATTATCATGTTAATAGGCTTCGTATTTATTCTTACCTGACACGTACGATTAATAGTTAGGGAGATACATTTATCATTTCGATTGGTTCCCAAAATTTGAAATTACTTATGACTCGCTCTAATAACTAAAGTCCACCATCACATAATTACTTAATTAAATAGAAGATTAAATTTAACTTGTTTTAACCGACTTGTCATCTAATAACATTGCATCATTTCAGACAATGTTTACATGTTCAATATCAAATAATGTTGTCATTTACTAAGCTTAGTTTGGCACAAGGCCACAAGTATGGTGCAATAAGTGAAGACCAAACTCACCACTAAGTAACCAAACTAGCTTGTTAACCATTATCCCATATCAAGCCACCTGGTGCTAATTGATAGTAATATTTTTGCTATTTTACCTGTGAATCATATGTTGTTGATTAATATCCCTCTTTTAGAAATTCACCATGTCTTTATTTTGTCCTCCACACGCTGCTCTGACTAATACTTGCTTTCCAGAAATGCTTGTTACTCTTTGAGAATTTTCTGTTTATTTTTCTTGGCCTATAAATGCCAGCAAAAAAAAAAAAAAAAAAAAAAAAAATCAAATGGTAGTGGGGAAGAAGATGTCAAGTTCTTTTGTAGAGAGAGAGAGAGAGAGAGAAATCTGTACAATGATATAATGGCTAGCTGCTCCTTTCCAAGTATGACCATCTACTCTGACGAGTACCTAATTCCTGTTGTAGGTGCCTGCTCGGACATATTTGTCTTTCTTCAACTTCCACAGAGCCAACCTGTGGTTTATACTGCAAGAATGCTGAACGAGCACAATCTGGCAGGATCAGTGGTTAAACAAGGCCAGTACACTCAAGCCATTAGTCATGACAACTAGTGACTTTGCACTAGCACAATCATTGATAGGTTCCAGAGAGTTTTGTCTGCCCAATTACATTCACAGGTCTTAGATAAACCCATGATATGGTTTTTCAGACACTTCCCAAAAGTGCCACCTACTGGGATTGTCTCCCCCAGGCCATCATTATCAAGAAGTCACCTCTGAGACAATATGAATTTGCATAAACACAAAACTATAGAGAACTGTCTTGACTTTAAAACCAGAGTTTTTTTGGGTTTTTTTTTTTTTTTTACCTCGGTGTATAATAACTAAGATGACTCAAACAGGAAAGGCCATTTCAAATTCTAAGGCTTTTACATCTGCCATTATCCTTCCTCCTGAATTATACATTTTCCAGTGAAATGAGACAATTTCTGGGTGTTGTAAATACAGCCCAGAAAGACAAAATAACCATTCATAAAAGTGATGTCAATATTTGCCAAAAACTGTTTTATAAAATTATGGAAATAAAAATGAGACTTACACATAGTATCAGAAAGTAATCTAGCTTCCATGTGCTTTTTCTGTAAATATTTTCATATTTCTGATGAACTTTCCTCTGTGGTACCTAGACTTTATGAATTTTAGTGCACTACTAGATTGGCAGCAAGATCTCATCATTTTACAGTTGAAATGTCTATATATAACCATAAGTTCTATGCTAACAGTTTCTTCAGAGTCTGTCTATGCTAGGCCACAAAAATCTCCTGAGTCGACCAAGCATAGAAATAAATACAATATGGGAACCAGTAATAAGGAGTGCCAGAGAAAAGCAATGATAACAACAAAGTTTCAATATGAACTCTGGTAAAAACATGCAATGATAATAGCAAAATTGCAATATGGGCACTGGTAAAAATGGTTGCTGAAAACATTAGGTTTATAATACCCAGAAATTCATACCCAGATGTCCTCAAGGACAGTGGATAAAGGCATTAGTTAAATCCAGTGACAGGACCCAAAGAGTTCAATACCCAGTTAAGGCAGTGGAGAACTTTCAGAGGGAAATTAACAGGAGATAACTGATAACCAACATCCATTAAAAACATGACACATGGAACTAGAACAGTCTACCCCAGTGAGCGAAATAAAGGGTTCAGTTCGACATTCCAACCACCTGAAGAAGGC